TGCAAGGAATGTGGATAATACTTCTCCAGTACTCACTAGTCAGTGCGTAAGCTGCAGTCTTACAAAATGTTGGTATAACTCAAGAGGAACACTGCATATGGGTTAAAAGCTCCTGCAATCAGTTTAGGGTTTCCTCAAATTTATAGATTTGGCAGCTATTGTTTTAAGTTCTATTAGGATCTACCATTCCAGGAGAATGACTTACTGACACTCAGTCCCCATTTACACCTAGGTGTCTTGCCGCTCAGAGGTTAGGATGACAAAAAAAAAATCCCGTTTGCTTGTTTTGAGTGCAACAAAACACTCAAGACAATGAATCCTATTCATTTCTATGGCCCCTGTTCACACCTGAGCATTTTTGTTGCAAGCAGAAAAACATCTTGGAAAAGTACATGTGCTATTTTTTGGCAGATTACAGTACTTTCTGGTTTCATAGACTTCAATGGGAAACTTTGTGCAACTTTAAAACGCTCAGGTGTGAACAGGGGCCATAGAAATAAATGGGATTCCTTGTCTTGAGCGTTTTGTTGTGCTCAGCTGTGAGCGACAAAAGGTCTAGGTGTGAATGGAGCCTTAGGACTAACTGCCAGTTATTAAAATAGAAACAAACCCACATAGTTAACTGTTTACCAAAACAAAGCTCAGGTTAGCGATGTTCAATAACTGATATTTAGGACTAACTGACAAGTAATAGGTTCAACTTGCAACCCACCATATGCTTTTAACATAAGAATGGATAACTGGTACTTAGGACTAACTGACACTTATTAGGTTCTATTGGGAGCCATCATATTTGTTCCCAGAGGAATGGCTAACTCATGCCTAGGGCTAACTGACACTTATTAGGTTCTATTGGGAGCCACCATATGATTTTTCAACAAAAATGGCTAACTGATACTTAGGACTAACTGACACTTATAAGGTTCTACTGGCAGCAACAATATGATTTTCCCATAAGAATGGCTAACCGATACTTAGGACTAACTGACACTTATAAGGTTCTATTGGGAGCCACCATATTTTCTTCCCAGAGGAATGGTTAACTGATATGTAGGACTAACTGACACTTATTCGGTTCAATTTGGGAGTTCTCATAATGCTTCCACTGAAGAATAGCTGACTGACTGACTGTTTCATATTAGGTTCCACTTGGAGCCACCATATGGTTTTCTCTAAAGAATGGTTTATTAACACTTATGAATAACAGACACCTAGCTTTTACTAGAAGGCACAATATTGCTTTTCCAGAAGAATGACTAACTGATACCGAGGGCTAACTGGCACCTCTTAAGTTCTACTGGCAGCCACCATATGTTTTGTTTTTTCCAGCAGCATGACTAACTGATGCTTATGACTAACTGAAACTTAATAGGGTCTCTTAGGAGCTACCCTGTTGCTTTCTCAGAAGAATGGCTAACTGGCACATAGAACTAACTCACTTATTACATTTTACTGGCAGACACTATATAGTTTCCCCAAAATAATTGCTAATTGCCTCTTTGGGCTAACTGACTCTTATTAGGTTCTACAAGGAACCATCATATGGCTTTCCCAGAAGAATGACTGACACTTGGGTCCAACTGACACTTATGAGGTACTGTTAGGAGCTACCATATTGCTTTTCCTGAAGAATGACTAACTGGCACTCGCTGTTTCCAGCAATAAACAAGATGGGGTACTTTTCAGTATAACAACCAATTGACTGTCAGCCCATCCACGCCAATAAGAATTGGGGGATTAGCCCTCCATCGTCCAAATTTCTCAACATATATTTGGCCTTGTCTCTCCTTCTCAAGAACCCGCTGACAGGAACCGCACAGAAATTTCCGGAGCCTCTGACCATAACCACCACGGCTTATATTTCTTTCTTGGAAGTCTCTGGTTTTATTTTTCCTGTAAATCTGACCTTAAAAAAAGGTTTAATTAAGTCATAAAACATTTATTGGTTTATTTTATTATAGCTTTTTGAACAGTCACCGTTCAGCTATTGGAAAGTTTAGTGTGTGAAGGACTCTTTATACATCTCGGGTTATCATCACATAAATGTGTTATTATGTTTTATGGCCGGGGGTTTTTCACTTCCTATTACCGTGGAATATTTAGGGCCAATCTTACACATTGCTGGGTCCAACTCCTGCCTCCCAGCAAATATGTAGTGTAAAGCAGGACAGTCGACTAATTAACAGTGTAAACAGCATTTATCACAAGTGTTTTTTCCTTATGTTTGTACAAGGTCTTGAAGTATCAGTGTTGTCACTTAAAATGTTCACATTTCGCAGTTAGCCAATGGGGTGTCTGCACTGGAATTGAAGGTAACCAACTGCTGGTAGACAAGCATAAACAATTTAGGACAGTGGAAACATGGTAACAAACAAAAATTTTACTTCGAGTACACATAGGCAATAAAAATGAATGATTTGCAATCTAGTCCACACCATTGTGTAGCATTGATGTGCATTTGATGAATGTAGAGCAGGCAGCATTTATTTGCAGTGCACATGAACCTATGTCAACACAATGTGTGTCAATACCACTCATAAATAAACGGTATTTAAGTAAAAGAAACGCATGTAAAAAACCTGTTTGCAAGGCATACAAAAACGCAATGCTAACCACATGCCAAAGCAGGTGAGCATGCATGCATTTTCTGTACATTTTACAATGCATTGTGGTATGAACATACCCTTACAGTTGGTTTTCTTTAAAAAAAAAACAGCCACCACCTGAGTAGGAAAGCCTGTCCCATGCCAGCATGCTGCACAGAAGGATCCTTATTCTCTGTGTGGAAGCAGTGGTCTCTCTGCAGAGGTTCAACACACCTCATAGCTCTGCCTTGGCAAATCTCATGCCCTCGGCTAATTGGAGAGCTCTAGCTCTGACGCAACAGGAGGCATGTCTGACCATTGCAGAATGGCCACGGCTTCCACAAAGATTTCACGCTTCTTTGCAGCATGATGGCAGGGGACAGGCTTCTCTACTCAGGCTGTGACTGCTTACTAAACAAAACAAATTATAACACTTATGAGAAACTCTTGTACAAAGGCAAAGTTGTTTCATTCTAGATTACTGCACAGATCTGGAAGAAACTCACTAATACACTAAAATTCAAGTGAGAATACATATATTTAAACTGATGCAACTGTTTATAAAATGCAGCCACCTAGAGGTTCACCTAGCACGAGAAAGGGCAAGGCTCCAACAGCAGCAATGACCGTTAGCATAATTCTCCTATATGAGCTTTCCTTTAAATTTTAGTTTCAGCTAGAGTATGGAAGGGATGGAACCTTATTTTTATTTTACTGTCTGTTTCCCATTTGGAAAATGTTCCTTCTCCTGGTATCCTATTGTTAGAATAGGAAGAGGACACCTCTCCAAAGTGAGGGAACGCTTTTCTTAGAGAGTTATAACATACAACAATTGTCCCCACTGGAAGATTTCCCCTCAAGTCCCGTTCCTGTAAAAAAAAAAAACCCACAAGATTTAGGACTTTCCAATCATTTTCATTTCTGATGACAAATGGTCGCCAGGACAAATAAAGATGAAAGATCTTCCCAGGACACAGACTGCAACAAAAACTTGACAGAGGTTTTAATCTTTCCCCACAGCAGCCAAGACATAAAGCAGAAACATACTCACTTCCCCTCCAGCAAGCTCCCTTACCTCCTCTGACATCTTCTGCCCGGCTTCTTCTGAGTTTGGCATCTTTGGCCATCTTGTTTGACCAGCCCAGGATGACATATCTCCTGCACATGTACACAGGAGTTCATTCATCCTATGCCCCGGCAGATGCTGGAGTTGTACATACATGCACTGCTCAGTGAAGACACAATAGAAGATTCAGGATTGCAGAAGAAACATAGTGGGCCAGATAAAGAGTTGTCAGTGCTTCAAATATTTGTCACAAAGTCCATAATGTGCCAAATAATAATTTCAAGGGTTTGAAAAGCAAGATGCAATAAGTGCGCCAGATGTTACAAAATCCCCAAGTGTGAATAGTCTCTTAAGCTGCGCTAAATAAAAAATGAGTTTGTCGATATTTGGCACCATAGAAGTGTGTAGTAGTGCGCTATGAGGATAATGGTGCAATAGAGTTAAACATTCCTGTTTTAAATAAACTCTGTGTGCTGCTGCATAATAGTTTATTTGACATGCAATGCACAGGTCGCCTTCCTCCACAACTCAATCCTAGTTTATCTGGCCCAGTATGTTTATAATAAAGAAAACTTTACTTTTGCATTTTTTTGCAAAATGGCTATAGTTCCATTTCGGGGAAAGTTATGGCTTTAGATAGAGAGTATAGAAAATATCTTGTCAACTCATGGGAATGTTTTAAAACCCTATAGCTTTGTACACTTTGTAATCTGAATATGCAATAGCTAATTAATCTCATTCAGATAGTGGACAAATTAAGTGAATGTGATTAATTTAAACAATACTGTGAACAATACACAATTAATTAAACAATGCACTGTGAATCGTGTAAAAAAAGTGCATTGTTTAATTAATTGTGTATTGTTCACAGTATTGTTTAAATTAATCACATTCACTTAATTTGTCCACTATCTTTGTTGGCGCTGCATAATTAGACCCTCTTCTACTACACAATGGTTAGTAGATCTAGGGCACATTGTTTAGTCAGATTGTAAGGTGTATGATCAGGTCAGACTCAAAAAATAACACTGTCCATGTGGCTATGCTTGTAGTTGCTTTTTTCTCAAACTCTCAGCAATCAATCAGCTGGAGTACCACCAGTTGCACTATCTGAAAGATAGCCAATAGAAGAGGAATATAAAAGTTTGTATAAGAAACACCTTCATGAAAATATGCGCATTTAAGCATGTTTGAAAGTCATTTAACATTACTTCAATGTAAACTTGATGCTAATGAGTTAAACCTTTGTGTTTCTTAAAATTCTGTGTAGTTTTCCTTTAATGGCAGATGTAGACAAGTGTTATACTGATTCTTTGTCTAATAACATTTGGCTTGTGTTTCTTCCATAGGCAGCTTCTGAAAACTGAACTAGGCTCTTTCTTCACTGAATACCTTCAGGTATGGGCATTAAAATGTCATCCAGCATTTTTTTTTTTTTACATATTCAGCCAACAAATAAAACACTGTACAGCTAGTAAAACAAACCTGTGCCCAGACTATGCACACTAAGTATTTGCATATTTTCAAACAAGCAGTAAAATCACTTTACTACAAAGCCCTCTACACCTCTGTGGCTATAGGTATTTCAGTGTAATTCATCTGCAAAGTTCACAATAGAGGCATAGAAATCGCAGCTTCTCTCTCCTTATTTCCTCCGGCAGTAGGGACTTGGCAGCCTGCCAGACTTCTTATGTAAACACACAGCAGGTGCTGTTAGAAACTGTCAGACACCTAACTTTAGAGTCTCTGTAGTGATCGTTAAGCTTGAACTACTCCACAGTACATAAAGCTAAAGAGGTGTATGAGGCCTTGTTTTCAGGCCCCATTCACACTTGCAATCGGGGCTATGTGAAGTTTCTGGCGGCAAGAATCTGTGAATTCCTGGGGCCAGAATGATAGGTGTGTACCAGTAGCTGTTGCCACGTAACCTATACAAAGCAATGACAGGCTGATGGCAGCTGTTAGAGGCTTTTTGGATGTAAATGGACTTCCACCGTTTACCTTTCTTTATCTTACCTTAATTCACATATAGCCCTAATCGCAAGTGTGAAAGGTGCCTAAAGCTCTTTTACTGCTTGTAAAGATTGTGTAAAAGTGTTAATGTTCAAAAAAAAAAAATCCCAGATTCTGGATCTAAGCATCAAACTGGCAACACTAAGGAGCATAACCAACATGGAAAAGAGTCTGGACTTAACGCACCAGGCTGTCGTGGAGGGGGGTCAGGCTGAGGAAGGGGGGGTTGGAGGAGCGGGATCCCGAGGTGGGAAGCTGGGTCACTGTTAGAAGGCGGGGGAGGGGGAAGAGTGCTAGAGAGGTCAGCCCTGATCTGATTCATCCCAATAAATTTGCCAAGTTGCAGGATGTTGGGGACATCAGTTCAGGGGGGACTCTGCTGGAGCAGGAAGCATCCTCTATCTGCTCCGGCGAGGACGGGAGCAGGATGGAGGGACAGGAGAGGCAGATCCTGGTGGTGGGAGACTCCATCATCAGGGCGGACTGACAGGGTAATCTGTCATCGGAACCGTGAGCGTCGAAGAGTGTGCTGTTTTCTACACACACACACACACACACACAATAGGTTGGACTTGATGGACAAATGTCTTTATTCAACCTCAAATACCATGTAACTATGTAACTATATAACCTGTGTTCGGGTGCACTTTACTACTATCCAGGAAACACTGTGATTGTGCTAAAATAAGAAATTGCACTCATCTTACTATAATCGGAGTTCTCTGCAAAATACGTCACTGAATTCCAGAGTGCCTCAGGTGGGTATGGTGGGTCTGCTTTTCTGTGGTTTCCTCTCTCTTTACGTGATGTATCACCTATCAGATCCAAGCTTCCAAGGCAAGTTTAAATCTTATTGGTGGTTGTGGGGTAGTGAGAAGCTTGCATTAACTATGTTTGCCAGTATTTATTCTTCATTACAAACAAGATAACTAAAGAAGTTCCCAGATCAGCGGGTTACAGCAAAGAAGGGAATGGGGTGGACTGTTGCTGCACAGCAGTGCCTGGATGATACCTGGAAGCCCTGAGCAGGTGATCCCCGTGTATGCATCTCAAGTCTTAATTTTCATATTATACTTTCTGACTTTTCAGAACCAACTTCTCACTAAGGGAATGGTGATTCTTCGAGACAAGATTCGCTTTTATGAAGGTAACCAGAGCTGCTTCACATCCACATTTACTGCAAATCTAAACTTTAGGCAAACAGTTAAAAGCGTATTAATTACAGTTCAGCCGGGCTTGACTTGCTAGACAGCACAGCAAGGACCCGGACCTCTTTGCAGACAACACTGCAGTAAACCATACAGCCTGATCCAGGACCTTCCCCAGCACGTAATTGGACAATGAAGGAGCAGCTGCCTATTGATGAAGGCTGGATATCTGCTCTGAGGATCTATTAGTATGTCCTAAGTAGTCCTAAAGGAATATTTAAAAGTGGAACTTTTTTATTAAATTTGGATAGAGAGTGAAAGGGTTAGAAGACCTGTCATTGATATATTGCTGTCTATGTGCCCATTGGAGAGATTTACCCTCAATTCCTATCCCTGAGCCACAAGAGTAGATTGAGTAGAATTCCCTCAAAAGCCCTCGAGGTCAAATCTCATTTGTCACCAGAACAGTTGTCATTGAAAGATTTCATTTTCACTTGCTGACAAATTAAAATATTTTGTTTACACTTTTTGTGTTGATCAAAAGTGAAAACAGCATGTGTGGAGCTCCCCACTGGAGACACAGACAGCAATAAAAAACTAACAGAGTTTTTCAACTCTTCTTCATTCAATCCAAAAAATGTATTTTTGTTTTAGTGGATGTTGGAGAGAAAAACCATTTCAATCTGGGGTGAGCAGAAAAACAAAACAATACGCAAGCCAGGCAAAAACGGCCATACAGTGGAGTAGAGACCACCCCCAAGGGAGATAAGAAGACATCAGGAGACTTGTAAAGATTCACCTGTAATTAAAATATCCCTTTTTGTGGATTGACCCTTAAGGCCTCATTCACACGAGAAAAGGCCGGCACGTACAGCTCCATGCTGCATGCACGGCCGTATCAGGCAGCTCCCGGGAAGGACCGGTGCTGCGTGTGAGTAGTACGCAGCCCCTGTCCTCCTTTATGGGAGTATGCGGCCGTACGCCGCCCTACGCTCACCCCAAGTGCATGTTCGTACGGTTGCCGGTGTCCCAGCTCGGACGCAGACAGGATCCATCCTGTCAACGTACGAGTGCAGACACCCGCACGGACGTGCAGGGCGGGTGAGTGTAGGGTGGTGTACGGCAGCGTACTCCCATAAAGGAGGACAGGGGCTGCGTACTACTCACACGCAGCACCTGTCCTTCCCGGGAGCTGCCCAATACAGCTGTGCTCGCAGCATGGAGCTGTACGTGCCGGCCTTTTCTCGTGTGAATGATGCCTAAAAAGAAACATTCTACTAGATTTAAAGGTGTTGTTTAGGCACGTTGGGGACAATCCTTGTAATGCTAGGCCTACACAGCTTAAATTACTTTTGAAATGTTGCCAATACTCAGCTCAACAGAGGCAAGTGCTGTGGCTGTCTAACTGTGCAGATTCCTCCACAAATCTAACCATTCACATATAGCGTCTATGTTTCCTACGTGGTTTTCGGTGCAGAAGACGCAAACGCTGTATGTGAAACAACTGATTCAGCTCGTTTTGTACCATGCGGCCGCTGCAAATGTCTGAACAATGCACATTTAAAGTGCATTATTTTTTCTGTTTAGAGCGGGCTGGCCAAATACGTGCGGACAACCGCTCCAGTGTTAATGGAGCCTCCGTGTGAATGGATAGACTTGATCTTTGTAATTCTTCCTTTCCTTCCAACTTCTGGGCACTACAGTATCCTATTTTTTTTTTTATAACCTAGTCTTCCAATACTGCCATGGCAACATTCATGTACGTTGTTTTATGATGCACTTCATTCACCCATGCATCTCACACCACTGGAGTTAAATGATTATGATTTCCCTGTGATTGCCAAACAATTACAATACAATACAATAATAAGTATTAGTATGGATGTGATAAGGTTAACCTATTTCTGCTTACAAGCTCTTCTTATCTGTGTGTTACAGGTCAGAAACTCCTGGACTCATTAGCAGAGACTTGGGATTTCTTTTTCAGTGATGTCCTGCCAATGCTCCAGGCTATTTTCTACCCCGTCCAGGTAAACAATTTGCTACGAAACCTTCCACTGTTTTAATATCCTACATGGGTTATCCTTCATTTTGTACAATAAGTTAGACATGCATAGTAGTATGTACAGTGATCCCTTTCTTCAGCTAGAATCTGTCCGTGTGTGTGGTGTAAAGTAGTCACCGCTCCAAGCTTGCTCCTGTAATGGACTACAATCTCACGTTTAGTTTACTAATTTGTATTGAGACTGTAGTCTATCACAGAAGTGAGTATAGAGCGGTGACTACTTTATGACACACAGGGACCATGGGGAACAAAAGTAGCTCCCCTCCAGAAGGAAGGACAGTGTCAGCATGACCTCAGAGATGATTTGAGGATCTACAGCTGAGTGAAGCACAAATAAGATAGATTTGGGTTAATAGTGAAAGTACTTGAATGTATATTTAAGATTTAACTCCTACGTCACTTTTAAGCTGGACATCTTGTTGGAGGTTGAATGTCTGAATGAAGGACAATTCATGGTGTCCAGATGAACGGATTAGATTCTATTTCTAAAGCAATACATTGGTATGAAAGGAGGAATCTTTCTAGTGCTATAGGCTACAAGAACAGTTTCTCTTCTAAAAACTTGAATACATCAAGCAGGAATGTGTTTAAGTTCCTAAAAGACCTGAGGCACCCCTAGTCACCTAAATTCAATTCTGTTTGTGGGGCTTGTAATATACTATGGAAAAAGTTGGTTAGGATTTTACTTGTCCTCCAGAATATATTTTCTCTTTCTCCTCTCTTTTTTTGCCTTCCCTCTCTTTGGTCTCTTTTGTTTCTCTCTTCACTTTCCTTCAATTGTTTCTGTGGCCCTTTGCTGACACCGATCCAATGCTAAGTAACCCAAAGTCGCAAATGGCCCTCAAAAGTTCTTTCCGATGTTCTTGCTTCCACATCTTATACCAAAATTAAGCCAAATGGAAGTAAACTGAAACTTCAGAATGACTTTTGTTGGTATTTGTTGGTAAAAAGTCTTCATTGGTTCACAACTGCTTAAACAAACAAAAATGTATGAATGAAAGTTCAGAAAACCTTGATATGTTTGTTTAGAACTGACAATTACTACAAAGAAACACTCATGTGCTCTGAGTACCAGGGTCTAGCAATATCTCTAACATCAAGTCTACTAACCTGACGAACTATAAACATGGCCATGACAGAGGCGGAGTGTTCTCTTAAAGCGGACCTTTACACTCAAAAATCAAATTTTACAAATGCATCACTCTATGTATGATGATTAATAATAACATAGACATGTCAGGTGTAAAATGCTGTGATTTTGAAATACTTACACCTGCAGAACATTCACTTGGGCACGGACAAAATGACTGTAGTTTGGCAAAGCAATGCATACTGGGATTGCCTTGTCATCAGCAGAGCATTGCTGGAAAGTGTCATGAGATCTCAGGGAAAGGCACTTTCCTCCCCTGAAATGATGTGCATGGTCACATGTCCTAGTCACATCTCTAGTCACATGTGCCAGATTTTCAGTAAGTAATAGGAAAGCTAGTAATCTGCCCTTAGTAAACATGGCCACTGTCAGAAGACTGGGAAAGAAAAGAAAAATAAGGTATGCAAGGAATGCAAAGCCGGCAATTATCTAGAAGTATCTGTTAGTAGAATGTCATTACTAAACATTTCTAAAGGTGTCTTTGTTGTTATTTTTAAGATATGGGTAAAGTTCCACTTTAAGGTTCACTGATCAAACCTTAGTAGCTAGGCTGCATCAGTCTTCTCCTAAGATTTAGAGTGGCCATAAACAGCATTCAACATTTTTCCACGACAAAGCTGGAAGTGCTTTGTGAGACTGTTCTAGGGCATGTCCATGTCTATGGCCAGCTTTGCAGTGGGCCTTTTATCACTCAGCATCTTCTCTTTTAGATTTGTCCATCACTGTGGCTGCACACATGTTTTTTTGCAAATGAAACCAACCTACACTGGAAACACACACATTTTTGGTGGCCCCACCTGTACATAGAGTTTTTGAAAAAGTGACTTCTAAAAGGTTTGTTTTTAGAGCTGAAAGACTTTGATATTGTCTTCTTCTTTTCAGGGGAAGGAACCCTCCATCCGACAGCTGGCTCTGATACACTTTAGAAACATAATAACCCTAAATCTAAAACTGGATGATGCCTTATCCCGGCCGCGAGCTCGTGTACCTCCTTCCATTATTCAGATGCTGCTAATACTTCAGGTACATGAATTAAAGGTGCACAGCCATGAATATGTTTTAAATTTATAGTAGAACTAAAGGCTCCTGTATGACAACCCAAACAAGTACCAAACCCAGTATATGTGATATACAAGCCTCATAAAGTAAATAAAAAGTTTCCTTTACCTTCCCTGAGTGAGGGTCTAACATGCTCCCCCTGCCAAACACTGCAAGCTACAGGTTTGTGAATTCATTGTAACAATGGTGATAGCCATGCCCCCTGCAACAGTTTTTCATTCCACTCTAGTGTAAGCAGGCACAGCCTATATGAGAGTGACAACTCTGCTCTGAATTCAGGAGCAGTGCAGCATCATTACCACACCATCACAGTAAGCTGTATTAGGTGGACTTCACTGGCAGGTCAACAGGTATTTGTGGGACAGGGAAAACTGTAAGTTCAGATGCACTTATAATTAAAGGCTGCAGCACTTTTTTTTATTATATTAACTATAGGGAAATATGTATGCGGTGTACGGTTTTATATTATTGTTCTGAACAGCTTCTGAACAAACCCAGGCAATGTCTACCATCTCTGTCTACCTATCTTGTGAAAGGTTTGCTTTAAAGCCTTATTCCAGTAAATTTGGATAGACCTGGGAAGGGTTATAACCTAATTTGGGTGCCTATTGCTTTACAATAGAGTCTACGTAGGGGCATGCATGCTGCAGCACCAGCAGTAGGTGTGGTCTTATACACATTTTTGTTGCGGTTTTCTTATCCGGTTTTGGGCATTGTGGGAAGGT